GCGCCCACAGGAAGTGCAGGAGGAGGGTCCGGCCCGGGCGCCGCCGCCGCCCCCCCGGGCGCCTCTAGAGAGGCCTCCGAGCCGTGGTGTCCACAGCAACGGGTGCGGGGTGCCCGCGGCCTCGGGCTCCGAGGACACGCCACCCGGCTCGGCACAGGTCCGGCATCACCCGGCGCCCCCTGACGGCAGGGACCAGTCCCGGGCAGGATGCGGAGAGCAGGATGAGCCGCCGCAGGGGGCAGAGGACCGCGGCCGCCCAGCCCCGCCCTACCTGAAGCCGGGCTGGATTGAGCTGAAGGCGCCCCCCTGTCAGCAGCCGGAGCCCCCGCCGCGGAGCGAGGCCTCCCTGCCTTCCGTCCTTCAGTACCAGCCCGGCCCCTCCCTCCAGGCCGCCTCCAAACCGTACACTGGAAGCCTGCCCCGGGCGCTCCTGGCGCACCCCAACCACGCCCAGAGACTCGTGGGGCTGGAGTGCCAGCCCCCGAGGCACCCGGTGGAGATGCAAAGTCAGGGTCCCAGGGACCAGGCGCTGCGCCTGGCGAAAGCTCCCGTCCCCCTGGCCAACTCCAGCCCTTCACCGGAAGCTCGTGTGCAGCCCCTGTGCGCCCCCAGATTTCAGTTTCAACACAGACCAGATCCCCAAGCTGACAAGCTCCCTGCCCCGACCTTCAAGCAGCACTTGCTCCCGCAGGCTTCAGTGACAGAGCCTTGCTCAGACGCCCACCTTGTGCCGCACCAGCCTCAGCAGCAGGCGGCGCAGACACAGCTGCCCCAGGATCCACACCTCTGTCAAAACCAGCAGCAGCCGCCGACGTCACAGATGAAGAATAAAGAACAAACGCCCCAGACTGTTCCCTATCCCCAAGGCAACAGTGACCAGCCGAGGGAAGGCGCTTTCTTCAGCCACGCGACCGCGCCAGAGCGCCTTCGTGGTGAGCGGCCGTGTTCAAAACCCAGGGAGCTCCAGGCCCCTCCACTCACCCAGGTGGGACTGGAGCAGGCTCAGAATTTGCATAATCGAAACCCTCCCTACGGGCACATCCTGAAATCAAATGCCAACCAGGTGCAGCTTTCCTGTTCAAACAGTGGGTACTCAGCCCCCGGCAGTACGGAACAGAGTGCCCACTCTGAACTCTCGGCGGGAAACAAGACCCAGAACTTGCATCACATGCAATATTTTCCAAATAATGTGACTTCCAAGCCAGATGGTCACAGGTGCTTTCAAGAACCCGAGCAGAAGCCTTACCAGGCTTCCGTTCTCCAGGGATACAAAGCTAGGAACCCCAGCGTGCCGGGCCCGCACGCCACCCAGCACAGGTACCTGGTGCCGAGCCAAGCGAGTGCTTTCCCCGGGCCCTACCCCGGGGCCGGGCACTCGCAGACCCCGCCCCACAAGGAGGTGCAGAAGCACGCCGCCTTGAGGTGGCACCTCTTACAGAAGCAAGGGCAGCAGCAGCCGGCACAGCCAGCCCAGGCGGACTTCTGCCAGCAGCAGCTGCACAGGCCAGTTAAGGTGGAGCCTGGACCCAGGCCCCAGGCCTGTATGCACCCTGCGTCCACACCCCCGGAAAACAAAACGTGGAAGAAGGTCACTAAGCAGGAGGCCCCGGCCCCCAGCTGTGAGCAGGTGCGACACACGACCATCCTGGAAGCCATGGAGCAGCGGCTCAAGCAGGTCCAGGTCAGGTCTCTGTTCGACCACAAGGCGCTCGCTCTCAAGTCGCAGAAGCACGTCAAGGTGGAAGTGTCGGGGCCCGTCACGGTTCTGACCCGACACACCTCCGCCGCCGACCTCGACGGCCACGCCCCAGCGTTAGAGCAGCAGGCGACCGCGTCTTTAGAAAAGACACCAACCAAAAGGACAGCTGGTTCTGTTCTCAATCATTTTTTAGAGTCACCTTCCAAATTGCTAGATACGCCTATAAAAAATTTATTGGATACACCTGTCAAGACGCAGTATGATTTCCCATCATGCAGCTGTGTAGGTAAGTGCCAGCCATGACCGAGACATGGTGTTGATCCAGAATTAGCAGAGTCATCTTCAGGTAGGGACTTGCCTTCTTTAGTCTTTAAAAGAAAAACAGCCTTAACCTGGTGGCAGTCTGTAAAGGGTCATCAGAGTCTGAAGTCTACATTACTTGTCTGCATAGGTGCTTGTGCTGTGCAGAAAACCTGCACTTACCTTTCGCTTTTTGGGAAAAAAAAAAAATCTGTGCATGCCATTCCCTCTGCGTTCAGACCCTTTAAAATATAAATGAGCCTGCTTCAGGGCACTTCAGCTGTATGACTCGCTTATGTCATCTCCTGAAGTCACAGCACAGCAGCAGAAGCATCTATTCCGTGACAAAATAATTGCCATCTGCAGAAACAGCTACAGAAATGGGCATATTTAGGACGTCAAAGTTCAGTACTGAATGTGGTTTTACAGGATTACTTTCCAGACAAGAGGGAAATTAGCCAGCACCCCAGTGGCTTGGGGGACCTTACAGTGCTGAGTTCTGAATACACACGAAAATGCCTTTTCTCCATTGATAATCCTCAAAAATATCGTGTGATTTATATGCACTTTTCTGTTTTCTCTTTAAATGCTAGAAAGCGCTGCGTCTCTTTCTCTCACTAAACAAATACCTTTTAACGAAGAATCGGAGCTAGGGGAGGTCTGTTAGATGAGGAACTGCAGGTGTGTAGACACGCAGAGGACAAGGGCCTGAGCACTCAGTGATCAGAGCGGAGGTGTCTGAAAAAACGGGCGTCCGGGGCTCCGGGCCACCAGCCTCAGTCCCCTCATGACGGGACCTCCGGGGTCGGGGCGGGGGGCTGAGCACGGCGGCCTCCGGGGCCGAAGGCCCATGGCATGGCGCCGCTCGTACTGGGTAAGTCGTGACCGTCCCGCCCTTCTGCCGCTGGGCCGCTTTGGACATCAGCAGGGCCCCCCTCGACCCGCCCGCCCTCGGGTGCGGACAGACGCGAGTCTGCACGCAGTACTCGTCTGTGCACAGCCGAGGGCAGAAGAGGGGTCTCGGCAGTCCAGTCAGGAGATGCCGGGGTGGAGGACCCACAGTCGCTCCTGACCTTGGGCCACTCAAGCGGCTGGCCGGCGGCCTGCTGTGACGCTTCACAAATGGGGTTGTAGATGAGACTGCATATGATTTATGCTGCCTTCCCTCCCTGTTTGCTTTGATCCCACTTGTTTTAGAATAATTCCTCCTCCGTCTGAAGTGTTTTGATCCAACACTCAGCGAGCACATGCACTTACTTGTTCCGGTTTCTAACAGATCCTTCTAGCCGTTTACTCCCCTTAAAGAAAACGCTGTTTCTAGACACACCAAGGGGAGTAAGGGGAGGTTTGGTGGAGGGTGAATGAAGCATGTGCACCCCGGCAGGAGGAACGGTGTGACCCCAAAGTTACGTAAAACTACCGCAACTTGCAAATAACGTGACGTCTCGGCCCTTAATGTGCAGTTGGGGGATACGCTTGTGGATGTAGCCTTTCTATTAGTGTAATCGAGGTCTAAAATAATAATCTTCTATTATCTCAACAGAGCAAATTATTGAAAAAGATGAAGGTCCTTTTTATACCCATCTAGGAGCAGGTCCCAATGTGGCAGCTATTAGAGAAATCATGGAAGAAAGGTAATTAACGCAAAGGCACAGGGCAGATGGACGATTCTCCCTTTGTACGCGTCAGACCTGTTCCGGCTTCCGCAAGCAAAGCAGTAAAGGACTGTAGATTGAGTCACGATTAGCAGGCTCAGCTGCCCGGGGCCGCCCGCGCCACGCGCTGTTGCTGCTCGCCGGAGAGCCACAGTGCCTGACGGCAGCAGGCGTCTGCGGGCTGGCCCCGGCTCTGCCAGCCAGCCTGCCGGGAGAGGGTGCTGGCTCCGCTGGACAGCCCGACCGGCCTCCCTCGGTGGCGGAGGCAGACAGGACAGGAGAGAGGGGACGTGTGGGGTGAGGAGGACCCCGAGTGAGTCAGCTGGAGACGCCACCGTGTCACCTGTCAGGAAGTCCCCCCAGTCCAGCTGAGGGTGAGTGGGTTATGTTGACTAGAAAGAGACAGATTCTGTTTATAGCTGCATTTTTTCTTTGCTGTCAACACAGGTATGCAAGTACGTACCTGAGTCTGCAGTTACTCCTGCATGTAGAAGACTTAGGAGCGAGCTAATCAGAGCCTTTGCTATAGGTGTGCACAGCCCTGAGCTGTACTATGCTAGGATGCCTTTTCTGTCAGAGGTAGGCAGTGCCGTTACAATCCACCAGACACGTTTCGGGCGGCAGAAGCAGTGTGCTTGCTCCATGCCGGGTGGTCCGTGTGGAAGTTAGCACATAGACGCTCACTGACTCATGGCGTAGCGCGGCACAGACTGCGTGTCTCTGGGCTCTTGCTTTTGTGAGCAAGTACTGTGTTGGTCTCACGGGAAGACAGAATCCCATCGCTGGAGACTAGTCACCAGCCTGCTCCTTTTAAAAAAATGTATGAGATTGCTTGAGGAACAGTTGTGACTGAGCTCTGATTCCCCACGTTTGTAAGACAGTTAACTCTAGCAAGTGTGCACATCAGATGGGAGACTGGACTTAGCGAGCGCGCCTTGTGGAAGGGCGTACAAACTCAGCATGGCTGTCGTTTTCACCCAGCATTTCATGTCACAGTTCTGCAATTAGCAGTATGTATTAAGATCAGGACCCACTTTGCTTGGCTTACACCTGTTTTTGAAAAATGCACCATTTCTCGGGATGTGGTGATAGGATACAGTTATGCTCAGATGTCCTCTGTTTTGGTTGTCGCTAGCTAATTGTGTTTCTGTCTCTCTGGATTTCTTTAAGGTTTGGCCAGAAGGGGAAAGCTATTAGGATCGAGAGAGTCGTGTATACTGGTAAAGAAGGCAAAAGCTCTCAGGGATGCCCTATTGCCAAGTGGGTGAGTGTGGCTCAGCACGCCCGCCCCGCGGGGGCCCCTCCGCACGGAGCCTGGGAGCTGGGCTGGCCGGGCGCGGGGCCGCTGCCGTGGGGGGACCGCCGGCCCGACTTTCTGGGCTCGGCCAGCCGACAGCCGCGGCCCAGCCGTCCTCGGCCGGGAGGACGGGGTCCGTCTGAGCGTCAGCTAGAAGGGGGGCTCGCCCAGAGCAGCAAACAGTAGTCTGGCCTACCTGGCCCGCCCAGCGCTGGCCCCGGGTGCTGGGGGGAGGAGCCTCTGCCGCTGCGCCTGCGGGGGGCCGCCGAAGTCCAGCGGCGGGTGCCGGCGTGGGCCCCGCTGGCTGGCGTCCGGCTGTGCCGGTGCTGTCCCCTGCCGCCAGTGACCGTGTCCTGTCGGGCGGGTGGGGGTTGGGGCGGCCCGGACCCGCACAGGTGGTCCGCAGAAGCTGCAGTGAGGAGAAGCTGCTGTGCTTGGTGCGGGAGCGAGCCGGCCACGCGTGCGAGGCGGCCGTGATCGTCGTGCTCATCCTGGTGTGGGAAGGCATCCCGCTGCCGCTGGCCGACAAGCTGTACTCGGAGCTCACGGAGACGCTGCGGAAGTACGGCACGCTCACCAACCGGCGCTGCGCGCTCAACGAGGAGTAAGTGGGGCGGCCGCGGCGGGCG